CAATACCACAAATACACTACATATCTACTTTTGTAGAGTGGCCCTTTGAAAGGCCATAGATTATAATACTTAATATTTTCTTACCCTATTAAGAGCATATGGAAGACTGTAAATGATAGACCCTGGGATGCATAGTGACAAAGTACCACATATGAACTCAGGGACTTCAGATTAAAGGGCTTCTGGAGCCATGGACTCAGGACCTTGCTGGTGAGACCCATCTCAAACATTTGTGTGTAAAACAACAGCTAGATCCCTGCCCTCACTTCTAAAATGGCTTTCTGATAATGAAAAATGTACTTCAAATAAATTTCAAAGTTACCCAACTCCAAAGTTCCTAGGCCTCAGCATCCTCGTTCCAGTATTCTTCCACAGGGAGTATTCAAAAAGATCTTGTCAGAAACATGTGAAATGAATGATGTTTGGGATCAGGATTCGCACAAGACACTCATAATCCGTTAAGCTAATGCTTCTGCGTCATCTGTGAAGTCTCCATTAGTCATGTGACTAGGGGGCCACCAAGGCCTCTTGGGTTAATTAAGTCATCTCGATGTGACCCCTTCAGTGATCTCTACCCCTTCACAGGCTACTTCATCCCTCATTTGGCCTCCCGTCTACCTCAGGGCATGGCAAAGAGGCTTGGCTACCTGACCAACTACCTTAAGATAAGCCTGAGTGTTGCGAATGATTTTGGAGATGGGTAAAATGAAAAACAGTGGATTGGGTGAAAGGGAAGTTTGCTTTCTCTACTGAAGGCTGAGCTCTCAAATGCTGACCAGGGCAAGGAATGTTTCTGGTGGAAAAGGTCCTTTCTGTCGTCAGTGGATCTAAAAGCAAAGCCTCAATGCTCTTCAGGGACCATCACCATTTGGGCCTTGACAGCCACATTTTCAGTACTATGCACACCAAACCTTAACGTTACCTTTCTTCATAGTACTCATCACCAGATATATATTCATTGTATCTTCTTCCTCTCAGTAAAGTCTAACTGCCATGGACTGGAGGGATCATCTGTTTTATTCAGTGCTGTTTCCAGGGCCTAATACTGCCTAGCACTTGGTAGGTGCTCAATAAATACGTGAATAAATCAGTGTAAAATATTTCAAACTGTCCTGGAACCAAACTATCCTGCATGCAAACAAAACATGTGCCTCTTCTGTGAAGGACAGGAGTACTATAAGATTCAGAAAAGACTAGAATACTGTGGAGATCCCCCAGATGATCACCAACACCAGCTGCACTTTAGCTCGTATCTCACTTCATATCTTTGACCACTGAGATTACAAGTATCCATCGGGAGTAGACAAAGGACTGATGACTAATAACATACTTTTTGGAGATTTTCTGGAAAGTTCCCTTTTTAGTCAGTTCTGAAGAAACTGTAATTAATCCAAATAGGTTGATGGAAACTCAAGATCACTAGAAAGTGCAGTGGAGACTCTCAAAGGAATGCTGTTGAACTTACCTCCAGTGGAAATTCCTGGAACAATCAACAGCACTATGAGCCAAGTAACCATAACACAAGTCCTAATGCCCAAGGCCAGGCATAAAGTTATTGGCGGCAGAACTACACACTTAAAACTCCCTGAAGGAATTTTCGAGGTTCTATTCTGAAAAGAAATACATTACCTGCCCTTGTATTGATCAAAATTACATATTTTGGGGTACTCCAAATACCAGGACTTACCACCTCAGACAAAAAGCCATGTACATTTGTGGCCACCTACAGGTTTCCTCTCTAGCAGCCATCACACACTCACTGCACTATACAATTTATAGGGAGTTGTTATGTTTTATTTACCTCCGTTTACTAAATAGGGCATACTCTTAAGGTGATGGGTCACAACTCAAATGCTTAAGAGATACAGAGGGCAGGCCAAGGGAATAAATACTGTTCTTTCAGAAGCCTGGGAACCAGTCCATGGTGCTATGTGGGAACACTGACCTGGTGCTGCCAGATCTTTGTATTTTCCAGGCAAAGCCAAAAAGAAAATTTTCCATTAAAAAATTCTCAATTCTAGAAACTTTGCAAGTCACATAAAGCCCGTTTGAGGCCATAAAAGATGCGCACTCTCCCTGAAAGCTAGAAACACCCTGAGCATTATCAGCTTTCCCCATGCCACCTGCAGAGGTCTGGAGCCAGGCCACTCTTTGCCAAGCCTCCAAGTACCCACTACAGCCCACACCCTTTCCTATCGGCCCTCCACCACCCAGGGAATCACTAGCACTGTTGAGTCTCACTGAGACCACACTGATTGTCACCACAGCAGCCCCAGATTCCTAAATTCCCCCTCATCCCCACACAGCCTGTTTTGTTCTCTCTCCCTTCACCAAACTCCTGGAGCCTCTCCAGACTTATTTATAATCTATTTTAAGCTAAATTTCTCATTTCCTCAATCTCATCTCTGAACATGCTTGTCCTTTCTTCCTCCAATGAGGACATATGCCTTCTCTTGTGCCCTTCCAAGTATGTAGGTCTCCTTGCTCCTGGTACTGCTTCTACACAATTCTCCTCTTCTCTCAAAACCCCCCAGCTATGAATCTCATTGTCAGAGTAGATTGCACCCCACCTTCTGTGTCACCTGCTGACCCAGATCACTTTCCTCATTTCTGATTTTAGCTCAGGGCTCATGCAACTCCCACTGCTCCTACCATTATCCTAGTTGATTTCTATGTCCAGGTAGGTAATTCTCCAACCATCCTGGCCTCCTGGTTCCCAGACCACCTCTCCTCCAGTGATCCTATCTTCCCTCCTGCCCCTTCCTCCCATGGTCACACCTACACCTTGTCTCAATACCTGCAACCTCTTCAGAATCTCAGTTTCCTGCATTTTTTACTCGCTGCCCATTGTATCCTTTCTAGTTCATTCCCTCCAAAGCCTCAGCTCCAACAATCTGTCAGCCCTATTCAGGGTGTTTTCCTCTATTCAGCCCCCTCATGTCTTCACATAGACTAAATTCCTTGAGCGACTGTTATAATCACTCCCTTACACACATTCACTACCTACTTCCCCCTCACCGTACTCATCTGGTGGCACTGTGCAGCTGTGCATGGCTGGGGAAACACCTCAGAATGACCTTGCTTCCTGAGAAAAATCAAAGCAATCAGAAGAGAAGGAAAAAAAAAATCAGAACTATCATCTGACTTAAATTAAGCTATCAAAAGCTTTCGAACAAACAGAACTTCGGATAAGTGAGAGGGCATTAGTTCACCCAGCCAGACGGGGGTACTTCTGAAAGGCCAGTAGGTCCAGCCAGCTACAGCAGCTGGGAAGAACACTGGGAAAGGCCTTGCAGCCAGACCTGGTTTTGTCAATTACTATCAAATGACCTTAGGCAAGAAGTGTTAACTTCACCACAGCACCAGGTTATTTCAAGGATTAAGTAACACAGTATGACCTTAAGAGTAAGTAATAGATGTTAGCCCCAAACTCAATTTTGATAAAGTAAAATTTTATCAGGAGAGGTAAAGGGCAGGTACATCCTAACATAATTACTTCCTAAATGAGTCCAGAAGGGCCCACAACTTCTAGTTCAGACTGCAAGTTCACCCTGCATTCCTGATTCCTGGTCCTCTAGAACTGAGCATTCCTTCACTGACCCGTAACAGCCCTGTTAACTCAGTTTTGCCTGTCAGCCTTAGGCACAGAGATTACCCAGCTCCAGAAGTCATTTACAGGTCATGACTTGGTGCACAAACATCCTTTCTTTCTGCCCACCCAAAATGCGGGCTCCTCCCTACTTCTCCAATTCTTCCCCCACCTGCAGAGGCTGTCTTTTCCTTGAATACCACCAAGCTTGTTCTAGATTCAAGGCCTTTGTCACTTGGTTACCTCTAATTGAACACTCATCCCCAAGGATTTTTATGTGGCTGCCGCCACCTCATTGTTCATGTTAGAGCTCAAATGTCACACTCCTCAGAGACCTCCCCTGACCACCTGAGCTCAAGTGGCTCCCATCATCTTACATCACTGTGGATGTAGTTCACCCTGTTTATTTACTTAATAATTTAATACTGTGGTGAGGGCCCTTCATTTAAACGTTTACGTCTCTCCAACTAGAATATAAGCTCCCTAAAGTACAGGGACCTGGCTTGTAGAGTTACAACTGTTAGCACGGGTGCCAACGCAGACCCTGACACATAGGGGCGCAGTAAGTTTTGCTCAATCAATGAATTCTTTCAAGAGAGAATTCTTTTCAAAGGCCACTGTGCTTGTCTGAAGCAGTTAAGGTTGTAACACTTACTCAAAAAGACCTTTCGGGTTGTATTTTCACATAGTCTAAGAGGTTTAAACCAGGCCTATCCTTCACCAACCTCTATGAACAAGCCCAACGAATTCAACCGAAGCTTCTCAAAGCCAACACTCTTCTTCTACTAGGAGGCCCCCACCACTGCCCTCCAACAATTTTGCTCTTCTTCTAGATTATCACTGAGAAACGCCTTTCTTCTTGGGGGTGCTCTACTGCAACTGATCCAGAAGGGCTTCTCAGAGCGCCGTTTGTTGTCTAACATCCAGAGAGGTGCAAGTGGGGGCGCCTTCCCTGAGGCTAAAACTGCCACCACGTCACCTAATCGAACCACCACCCTTCAGGCCTGGCCTCCCAGGGCCTTCCTGCGCCATGGAGCATTCCGCTGCCAGGAAGAGGCTGGTCGTCTGTTGGGCCTCTCACCCCCTTCCCTTCCTGCCACAGGAAGGGCCGCTGCCACTCCTCCTTGGTCAACAGACCTAGTCTCCTCCCTCAGCCGCAGGAAACTTTGCCAACCCTGGCTCCTTCGCCCGTCCTTACTCCCAAAGGCTCCCAAACCTCTTCTCGAGGACCAGCCTCTCAGAGCTGATTCCGTCGAATCGCCCCCGCTTCCCTCTCCAGCCGCTTCTCCCCTCCTACCTCGTCCAGGGCCCCTTGGACCCCCACCTCCCCCCCACCACACCTTTCCCCTAACGCCCCGCCTCCGGCCCTCCGGCCTTCCTTGCCTCCCAGGAAACCCGCCCGGGCCCTCACCGTGGACGCCACGTTCTCCGTCGGCCGCCTCAGCACCGAAAAGGAGCAGCGAGGCCAGCAGAGCGAGGAGCGCGCCGCACCGCCTGGGCCCACACAGCAGGGCCATGACGGGATCCACCCGGCCGCCCGGGCAAGGCCTCGAGCAGCCGGCCGCTGGTGTCTCGCGATCAGGTGCGGGAAGACCCTCGCCGCGCACGCGCACTGGAGCGCCTGGTGTTCGGGTGCGGGCGCTCCCAGAGGGTCGGCGCCGTGCTGGGCTGGCGGTCACGCCCGAGTCTGCGGGAAGCCGCTTTCTCGGACCGTCGGTGTGCGGAGACTGCCTCCTACGCCCACGATGCTTCCGTCCCTTCCTCGCCCCCTAGCTCCCAGCGACGCTGAGCCTCTCTCCCACTGCTCAGAACCCGCCACACCCTTAAAAGCTCGGTGGGCGCAGGGTCAATGGCGGCTGCCTCCGCGCAACTGCTGAAGGTAGCCGGCCTAGGAGGGGGCGGGGCGCACCTGGCGAGGCGGGGCGCGCAGAGCGCAGGCGCCCGGAACAGGCACCTGACCCGCCGTCCTGTTTACCGAACGCACCTGGGCCTGCCCTTGATCGGAGAGAAAGGGCCAGGACTGACTTGGGCTCCGCCCCAGGTAGGACTTATCATGGGAGGAAGTGCGCGCCAGCTGAGCTCCAGGGCTTCTTCTGCCCTTGCCCTTGGGCTTGTTGATGACGTCCGAGTACCTTCACTCATGGATTGGGCCTCGGGGTAGGAGGAAAGGGCGCAGGCAAGTTCTTCAGGAAACCTGTGGGTTTTGCCCGCGTCGCTTCAGCCTTCCTTTGAAGGTGAGGGATTTATTTCTTCCTAAATTAAACGTTCACTGAGCTTCCACTGGTACTTTGCTGGAAACGCAGAGGCCACCAAACCACACCGGTCCCTGCATCACCAGACAGGAACAGCTCGGAGTAGTGATGACAGAACCACAGAGCAGTGATTAGGGGTGTGACAGGACAAGCAAAGGCTGAAGCTGAGTGTCAGGGGCTGCGGTGGTGGAAGACCAGGGCATACTGGGACCCCAGAACAAGTTCCCATTCAGCCTGAGAGAAGACCCGGTTGGCTTCTTGGAGGAGGTGACAGATCCATAAATGAACAATAGCCACAGGCCCTGCCTCCACAGTTCCCAATCCAAAAATGAAGACAAATACCTCACCAGACACGAATAGGTGCCAGGGCTGTGCTGGGGAAGCACAGGCAGAGTAATTAGGAGGGAAGCCCTGAGGAGACACCAGACCCAACTTCAGGGCCAGACTGGGCTTCCTGGAACAGGGATGTATGAACTGAGTTCCAAAGGGGAATGGAGTGGGGCAGTCATAGGAGTAGAAGATGGCCAATAGAATAATTAAGATAAATGCATTTTTATTAAACACACCTAGCAGTGCTGTGAGGAAAATGTATTGGGGGCTGGGATAGAAAATAAGAAAGGAGACTACTTGAACTTCCAGGGACTCCATGAGAAGGTGGTTTTGACAGTGAACCCTGAAGGTTGAGATGGGCTGGTGGACAAACATTCCTAGCATCTAGGGACATCAAATGCAGAAGTCCTGAGGCAAGAAAGATGTGAACCAGGGCCACTCCCACTACTCATCCTCCCTCCTGGCAGAAGAATTTGTGGAGAGCCTCAATTAGATTAACAAAACTGTGTTTACATTAACCAATTAAAATTTTATGCTAGCCATTTTCTTTAATGTTTCATGAGGTCCTGGGACTCAAGGTCAAGAATTCGAATTAAAGGCCTCTCCCAGCACCTGAATCCGGCACCCTACCCAGTCCTACTAAACCAGGGCTTGAGCTAGAAGACGGGACTGTGGTGAGGTGAGACTGAGAGGATGCATTCATTCAGCACATTCGTTGAGCATCCACTATGGGCCAGGTACAGTTGTAAAATGCTAGAGAAGGTACAACAGTGAATAAAGTAAACTTTCTGCCCTGTTGGAACTCACTTTATAATGTTGGAAATAGTGGTGGAACTATTTGACACCTGGAGTGGATAATTTTTTTACACTGTCTCTACCAGAAAATTATTTTCAATAATATTCTTGTAAGAATCATAATTTTATTCTTCATTTTAAAATTAACAGTTGAAAAATGAACAAATTTCAACTTTAAAAGTTATTACTTAAATGCATAAATATTTCCCATTGAATGAAAATTTGCACTTAACTAAATAAAAATATTACACCTCACAGTTCACATGATGATTCACTGCTTTAAATTTTAAATACAAAAATTCCAGAATATGTAGAATAACAGAATAGTTTCTTCATCTTTATGATCATTGTGTTAATATTTTAATTTCTAATCTATTATTTAAATGCAAGGATATGTAGAATCACAGAGATTGGAGACACAGAATGTGCCTGATATAAGCCCAGATGATTCCAAATTGTTATGAACTTATTTTCAAAATGAACACGTATAGCTGAGGTCAACTGTATATCTGAGAGTCTTCTGTATTAACTTCCCTGTAGAATATTGTGGCAGAGAGGTGTTGGGCAGCCCCCATGTTCATGACCTGTATAGTCTCCTCCTCTCAAGTGTGAACAGGACCTGGGACTTGATTCTAACCACTAGAATTTAGCAAAAGAGGTTCATGATTACATTGCATTATATAAGACTCCATCTTGGCCAGAGAGAGAAAGAGACTCTCCATCACTGGCTATGAAAGAAAAAAGCTGTCACACTGTGAGAGGACATATGGAGAAGGCAGCCTCTAGGAACTGAGAGCGAAACCCCTGGTAGCCAGTAAGAAAATGAAGACCTCATCTCGACAACCTCAAGCAGATAGAAACAGCACTTTCCCCAGCTGAGCCTCTGATGAAATGGCAGCCCTGGCTGACACCTGGACTGCAGCCTGGTGAGACCCTGGAGCAAGGGGCCTAGCTATGCCTGGTCTGGATCCACAAAAACTATGACATAATAATCGCGTGTTGTTTTAAGCCACTCAGTTTGTGATAACTTATTGTGCAGGCATAGAAAAAAAATACAAATACAATGTTTATTAAATGATAGAGTAATACAAATATCTAATGTGAAGCCAATTATTAAAATTCAACAGTAATTGCATCAATTGTTTTGTAAGTTAGGCCAACAAAAGATTTTTGCATTATTTTGGGGGATTATTTTATCACTGATACAGTTCAGAATTTGTATGTTCATGGTATAATAAAAACTCAACCAACTTTTGATAAGTTAATTATTTTGAAATTGTCTAAAATAGTGCACCTCATTTTTTCCTGTACTCAAGGTGAACCACTCCTATTGTGCTCCCTTTGGGACACTGCTAGTTGGAAAATGGACAGTAAGCAAAATGAGTATATTATGTGTCCTGTTAAAAGGCAGTGAGAATCATGGATAAGACATAGAACCAGGTAAGGGGCATAGGTGTTGCAATATGAAATAGGGTGGTTGAACAAGACTTCGCTGCACAGGTGACATCTGCAGGAGATGAAGGAGTGAGCCTGCTGATATTCTGGGGAAGAACTTTCTCAACAGTAGGAACTGCTAGGGCACAGGTGCTGGGAGAAGATTATGCATGGCTGAACTTTGCCCCAGGACAATGGGGAGCTATGGACTATCTTATCTTGCCTTTTATCTGAAGTTTTATTGAGTCATAACTCGCAGTGCTGTTTAGTATATTCATAGAGTTGTGCAACTATCATTACAATTTTAGAAAATTTAATCATCCTTAAAAGAAACCCCACACTCTTTAACAGTCACTCCCCTTTTCCCCCAATTCTCTCAGCCTCAGGCACCCACCCCTCCATTTTCTGTGTATGGATTTGCCAAAGCCTGGACATTTCACGTGCATAGAATCATACAACATGTGGCCTTTCCTGTCTGGCTTCTCTTACTTAGCATGTTTTCAAGGTTCATCCTTGATGTAGCATGTATCAATACTTAATTTCTGCCCAATAACATGCCATTGCATGCAATATACCACATTTTATGTATCCATTCATCAGTTGATGGGCTGAGTTGTTTCTACCTCTTGGCTGTTAAGAACAATGCTGCTATGAATGTTCACAGGCAAATTTGTGTGTAAACATATGTTTCATTTCTCTCCAGCACATACGTAGGAGTGGAATTGCTGAGTCATATGGTAACTCTTAAGTTTACTCTTTGGAGGAACTGCCGGACGGTTTTCCAAAGTAGCTGCACCATTTTACATTCTCACTATCAATGTATGAGGGTTCTGATTTCTCCATATCCTTGTCAACACTTGGTTATTTTCCATTTTTTTTAAGTTACAGCCATCCTACTGGGTGTGAAGTAGTATCTTATTATGGTTTAGATTTGTGTTTTCCTAATAACTAATGATGTTGAGCATCTTTTCATGTGCTAATTGGATTTATATATATATTTTAGAGAAAGGTCTGATCAGAGTCTTTGTCCATTTTTAAATTGGGTTATTTGCCTTATTTTTAGTGAGTTGCATGACTTCTTTTTGTATTTTGTGTACCAGTGCCTGATGAGATATGTGATTTGAAACTTTTTTCTCCCATTATGTGTTTTTTCACTTTCTTGATGATATCCTTTAAAACACAGACGTTTTTCATTTTATTGGTATCCAGTGTATGTGTCATTTTTGCTGCTTATAATTAGAAGAGGGAAGGCTTGCAAAATAAAGGATTTCTGTGGTCACCCTTGCCAAAATAGCCCACCCTCACTCCATGCCTCCTTTTCTGCTTCATATTTCTCAATAGCTCTTATCATAGTCTAACAAGCTGTATAATATACTGTACTTATTATGTTCACTACCTGTCTCCACCGCAAGAATGTCAATTCCATTGTGACTGGGCTTCTCCATTTTGTGCACTGTTCTTTCTCCAGTGTTATGTATGTATGTGTGTGTATGTGTTTTAGAGACATTATATTGAACTTTTGATATATAAATAGCTAGAGAAAGCTGAGAGAGCTGAAGGAAGCAGCACTGTCTACCTTTGCGTCTATCTACAAGTCACTAAGGAACTCACGGGAGGGAGGTTGGGGAGGAGGAGCTTGGTAATGACCCGAAGGACAGAGACTGGATGCGATCAGGCATGGGGAAGTCTGATGGGAGAGTGAGAGGCAGCCCAGATGTCATGATGTCAGGTGTATGCAGATTTGTTAAAGAGAGTGAGTGAATAAACGCATGGATGGATGGATGCATGGATGAGTGAATAAATGAAAGAACGAACAAATGATGTACTGCAAAGTACTATGGCTTGACCTTCCCTTGCGAAGAAAGGTGGCACGGGACCCCTGCACCTTCCCTTGCAACCGCCAGAGGGCGTAGACAGGCCCGGTCCCCGAGAGCCTGTCTCGCGACCCCGCCCCCCTCGGGGATCCAAGGCCCCGGTTCCCCAGCCGTCGGCCCCGGCCTGAGGCTCCCGAACTCCGCGCGTCCCTGGGCCATGCTGCGTTGTGGGCTTTACGCCCTCGCAGCGGCCAGTCCTCGTGCTGCAGGCGGGGAAACTGAGGACTGGGGCGGAGCCGGTCCCCCGGCGAGCCGGAGCCTCCGCCCCCGGCCGGCCCCGCCCCGGCCCGTAAGAGTTGCGCGGAGCACCAGGCGAAGGCGCACAGCGCGTCGCCAGGCCCGGGGCTGGGAGCGTGATGGCAGCTCAACGGCTGGGCAAGAGGGTGCTAAGCAAGCTGCAGTCTCCGTCGCGGGCCCGCGGGCCGGGGGGCAGCCCCGGGGGGCTGCAGAAACGACACGCGCGTGTCACCGTCAAGTATGATCGGCGGGAGCTGCAGCGGAGGCTGGACGTGGAGAAGTGGATCGATGGGCGCTTGGAGGAGCTGTACCGCGGCAGGGTGAGGCGGAGAGGGGCGTGGGGGCGCAGGGAAAGGTCGCGATCTACGGACTTGCGCCGAACACCCAACGCCCCGGGTCTCTGGTTGCATGAGTGTACACGCAGCCTGGTTCATCCTAGAGGATACCCGGCCCGGGGCCAGGCTTTCACTGGACTCACTAGCCCCGCCGTCTACCAGGATGGCACTCTGCTTGTGGACAGAGAGAGGGACACACACTCGGGTCTGCAGAGCTGTGTCCAACCACCTGCGGAGGGCCAGGGGATTAGCATATGGGGGGCGAGGAGGCAAAGTTGGGGAGCTCCAGCAGCCTTATCTGGAGAAAGGGTGGGAGGGCGGGGGATGTCTTAAAGCCAAACATAGACATAGTGACCAGGGAGATACAACCACACAGAGGCCCAGCCAAGGGAGCAACTGCATTGACAGACGTGCACAGTGACAATCTGTAGCCAAGAGACACAATGACAGAAGCAGCAGTCACACACCAACTCAAGGACACAGCTGTGGTCATGTAGCAGATCAGCATATGTTGCAGCCACAGGACCCACAGACACACTAGCACAGGTCACAGCCATATGCAGATACAACACTACAACAACACCCACACAAAAGGACTCCAGTTTCAGCTATTCACAGATACATACTGGCACAAGCTGTTGCGACTCACAGATGGTACAAACTACAGCTGCTACTCTGGGACACCAAATGTTCAAGTGACAACCATCTACTCTCTCCTAAAAGCAAAAACAATAACCACAGGCAAACACAATGACAGATGATACAGCCACTCACAGACATAAAATAACAGAAATGATAGCTACACCCAGACAGAACCATGTAACTATAGTTACATATGGACATAAACAACAGCTGCCCATTCGGCACACAGGGCATAAGCCACAGCCGCATATGTGGACACATAGTCTACAGACAGACCCCTGAGTTTCTGCTTGAAGTCATACTTTGTACAGCACACTTGCACTGCGGAACCCAGCCCCAGGTACCTGAGAGTCACAGCTGTGCAGACACACAGGCTGCACAGATTCTCAGCACAGCATGAAGATGATGGAGGCCATGGCCCTTCATAGTGACATGAGGCCCTTCTCTTCTCAGACACACCTGTGGGCTCCTACGGGTGGACAGATGAGCCCAGTTGCTAGTGGTAGCTGGCATCCTGTGAGGTCTTCCTCAGTCTATGGGCCCTACAGCTGCTGGGACCCAGCTAAGTAGAGCCATAGGACCTCACCCACAGGACCATAGACCCTTGTACCCAGGCACATGGTGCCACATACCACGGCCCCCTCAGCCAGCCCTAGCCCTTTGGCATTCATGCACAGAGACTCACACAGGCATGTGATGCACTTCCAGATTACTCCATGTCTTTGCTGAACCCTCTTGTCTGCACACAAACCCTGGACAGCCCAGCCCTGAAGTCCACAGAGTCAGCAGGACTTTGGTTTGGGGAGGAAAAATCTGTACCCTCAGGGATCTCTTTCTCAACAGCTGGGTTCTGTCCCCCACAGGGGTGCTGAGCCAGCCTGCCTTTGGCTCTTTGACCCAAGAGGCCATACTGGGGTCCCCCTCTTAGCTCCCCTCTTAGCTACTCAAAGGTGTACTCATGGCTCATCCCACCCACCCATTTTGGGAGCATTGAATGATCATCTCCCTGGATGTGAGGGTGGCTCCTTGGCTGAGGGGGCTCCCCAGAGCCCTACTCGCCCTTCCTGTTCCCTGGGGCAAGGGGCCTGCCCCCAGCAAGCTCTGGCCAGCCCTCCCCCACACCCAGTGCTTAGACTTTTCCTTGAAAGGGCAGAGCCAGCCCCTCTCTTGAATCCCAGAATCTGGCATTCCAAGACTCGACCAGGCGTGTTTCCCACTGTGGGAACTGGGGCCAAGAAGAGAGACCCGTGCCAGCCCCAAGGCTCTGCGGGCCCAGAGGTCCAGGCATCTGAGCTGGTACAGGCCCCTGGGCCTCTGTCAACCCATCTGCCACCCCTCCCCCCAGCACCCAGATGTCCTGCCTTGGCGGAGCTGTCCCTGACTGCCACATTATTGCTCCAGAACCCGCCAGCTGGGCCCTGGGGCTGGCGGTGCTCCTCCAGAGCCGGGACCCTGATTCCTCTCCCTCCCCCGCCTTAGGAGGCAGACATGCCTGATGAGGTCAACATTGATGAATTGTTGGAATTAGAGAGTGAAGAGGAGAGAAGCCGGAAAATCCAGGTAGGTGGAAGGGAAAGCTGCCCCCAGTCCTCCACCTTGCACCTTCCTGAAAGTCATAGTAATAGTCATCATGTTTATTGAACACTTACTATGCACCAGGCACTGTTTCAATTGCTTTATACTTACTAACTCTTTTAATCCTCACAAAACCCTATGAAGGGTTTATTATCTCTGACTCATTATTATTGCTATTTCCTCCATTTTCCAGATGGGCAAAATGAGGCCCTGAGCGATTTAATCACTTACCGGGAGTCACATAACTCAGTAGAAACAGAGCTGGGAGTCAAAGCCAGGCAGTCAGGCTGCCGTGTTCCATGCTCTCCAAGAGGCAGGAAATGCCAAATGACCTCCTGGCCCTCTCTGGCTCAAGAGCTGGTCCTGGGGCTGAGTTTCTTGACTCAGCCATGCCCTGGTTGCTCTTTAAGCCCCTGGTGGGAAGTTCACTAGGCTGACTCCCACTGGTCTTGTCTTGGGGCTTTACTGGGAAAAGGAAGGGGCTGGAGGGCACAGATATTAGTAGTTTGCAATTTTCTTCTTTTTTTTTTTTCCGTGGATGGGGGTGTTTAGGGACTCCTGAGATCGTGCACAAACCCCACAGAGGTGAGCTCCTCCTGCATGACGGGCCCTGTTCTGCCTTGCACCCTGCTGGGGGCAGGGGTCTCTTGAGAGGAGGGAAGAGGCTGCCGTGCCAGGTCGCTGGAGGGAACTCCGGGAAGCCCTCTGGGTCTCAGCCCTTGTCTCATCTGCAAGGTCTCCCCTTTGTCTTCCTCACTCCTGTCTCCTCTGGCCCCATCTGCCACTGCAGCTCCATTATCTCCTCACCAAGACGCTCCCCCATCTGTCTCCTATTTCTGCCTTTCCTCTGCTGTTCTCTGTCCTTCGGGCTCCGGTCTGGGGACTTAATTTTCCTCCATCTCTCTCCCCCGTTGCTGCCTCTGCCACCCCGGGGCTCCCTTCCCACCTCTGGGGCCCCCCATCCTCCTGGCCCTGAAGCTGAGCGGCCAACCCCTCCCACTTCCTTCCCGGCTTTAAAAGGGAAAAATATTCATGTTCTTCTAACCAGCCCTGGGCTGCCTGAGGGACAAACGTCATTGTGTGTCTGTCTGCCCTGGAGCCAGCTCAGACCACTGTCCCTGGGGACCCTGCTGGTGATTTCTGGCCTGAGAAACATCTTGATAGCTCTCTGTGGCTGTGGGTCCCTGTCCCTTTGTCTCTCCCTCCGTCTCTAGCCCGGGACCTCTTTCTCTGTCTCTGTGCTGTGTCTTGGTCTCTGTCTCTCTCCATCTCTCTCTCCCTGTCTCTGTTTCTCTTTCTCTGTCTCTCTGTCTCTCACCCTGTCTTTCTCTCCCTGGCCCCAAATCTCTCTCTCTGTGTCTCCATTTCACTCTTGTCTCTGTCTCTCTTCCATCTCGGGGTCTTCTCCTGTGTCTCTGTAGCCTCTGCCCCTCCCTAAGTTCATAGCCAGGCCCTCTCCCTGAGAAGAGGTGGGCAAACGAGAGGCCCAGGTCAGAGGGGCCGGGCTGGGCTGACCATGGGGTGCCCCCACCCTCCTGTGTTCACACCCCCACCCACACTCCTACCCCACCCTGTCCTCAGGCCTTTGTCCGGGAGCTGCTGGTGAAGCTGCGAGGCCTCCACAAGCAGCCAGGCCTCCGCCAGCCCAGCCCCTCTGGTGACGGCAGCCTGAGACCCCTCCAGGACCAGGCCCGACCTGCACCGCCCTGACCCTCTGTCACCTCTGTGGCAACTCCTTCAAACGCGACCTCCGCATCCCCAGTGCAGTCCTGGCTTGTTTATAAGCTGTATTTAATGGTTCTGTAACAATAACATTGTGTGCCTGTTTTTCCTCTCCCTGGTTACTGTGGGCTTCCCCAAGCTCCCTTCGCCCTCCCCTAACAGACTCCCCCCTTCCTGCTGTGTCTCCTCGAGTCCCAGCACCCACAGCTGGCCCGGACAGATGGAGAATCACTCCTCTTCCACCAGAGAGCATGAGAACAGGGCCTGCTGACCTTGCACCCTCAGAACTCATATCCTGTCCTCACCTCCCCCTAGCTGTGGCCCAGTCCCAGCCAGCAGAGCCCTGGGGGTACAGTGGCACTCAGGGCTCCTATGGGAATGACTGCCTGTGGTCCTTGGGTCACCAGTAGATGCATAGGACCTAGTGTGCCTGATATCACCACACCACACCATGAATTTCACTGGGCACTTACTGTGTGCTTGGCATGCCACTGGTATTGGTATAGGCCTCAGAGATGAACAGATGGTGGTCCCTGGCATCAAGGTGCTCACACACTAGTGGAGGCAAGGGACGGTGCAGGGATTTAGAACAAAATGTACTAACTGATCTGAGATGCTTGGGAGCCCAGGGAGTGGGAAGAGCTCTTGGGGTGGTAAAGAAATTTAGGAGGGCTTCCTGAAGAAAGTGACATGAAGCAAGGCTTTGAAGGATGCATAGGAGTTTATGTGAAAGGAGTACCTGTATTTGAGGACTCTGCATTTGTAGGTGGAGGGACTGACACTGGGGTTGAGCCAGGGGACATACCAAATACTGGCAGGGCTGTTTACCAAGTAGGGTGGGCAAGTCCCCCAGAGCTAGGTCAGGGAAGCCCCTGCACTGGGGCATGGGGAAGAGTCCCAGGAGAGGAGCTAAGGCATCAGGAGTGGGTAGGGGCTGTTTGCAAAACAGCAGGTGTAGTTGCATGAGTGGTCCCTGTGTGTAGTCAGGAGATGGGGTGTGGCTGTGGCTGCACCAAGGACTGGTGCAGGCGGTGCTACAGTATCTCCTCCCAGGGCAAACCACATCTCCCATGTGGCCTCTACTGACCAAGGTTGGGTGCTGGCTCCCATCCCCAACCTGTGCCACCCAGCAACCCTGCCAGGATCCAGCACCCATCCCAGGGAGTCTGAGCCCCAGGCCGGCAGGAAGAGCAGATGCCCCTGAAGAACAGCATGCAGGGGCACACGGCCTGTCCAGCCCTTTGGGAGCCTTGCTGTCCAGTGTCCCCTCCCCTCCACACAACTGGATAGAGAATGAATGTGTGGAGAACGGAGGTATCCCTCCTGGCACCCCAGCACCTGGGCCTACCTCCCGGGACACCCCACTTGGGCTTAGGAACTCTGAACTTCCTTTTCCTAGAACCTGTTCTTAGTCCATCTTTGTGGAGGCAGTATGTGCCCAAAATTCAGTTTCCAAAGTCCTGGGTGTGTCATGTGTTGGGCCTCTCAGTTTCCTCACCTAGAAAGTGGGGACTTAACAAATGAGGAAACCAAGGCCCAGATTAGTGCTATCACTTTGCCCAGTCACATGGCTGGGAAGTGGCGTTGGGCTTCAATCCCAGGCATTATGAATCCAGGGCCCAACTACGTCTACACTACTGTGCCTTTATAAACCGCTGTGATGATTGCTATTCTTCGGTGGCAGGAAGAGGCTAATTCATACCAAGGTGTTTGTGACTGCTCACAGCCCTCTGAGACATCTAAAGGGTGGTACAACTTGGCTGCGAACAAGGCTATGAGAAAAGGACTGGGAGGCAGCATCCCATAGTGGGTGAGAGCATGGGCCCTGATTCAAATGCCATCTGTCCTTCTTCCTAGCTGTGTGATCCTGAGCAAATCGCCTAGCCTTTCTGTGCTTCAGTTTCCTTATCTGTAAACTGAAGGTGATTATAATAGTAGCTACCTCCTGGGTGAGCACAGGTGAAGGACGAGGAGGGTGATGAAGGCAGGGGTGACAGGTAATGGGACCGGAGTGTGTAGGGAAGGACTTTGGCTTTTGTTCTGAGGCCAAGGGAGGCCTGTGGAGGATTGTGATATGAAAGATCTCCAACACAGGTTGTTAAGTGATAGAAAAGAAGGATTAGGATGGTAATCATAACGTTTGCTTTCCGTAATGGTTGCCCCCTTCCCATCCGCGCTCCCGCCAGGCTTTTCCCCTCCAGGACCCACAAACACGCTTCCAATCTGCCCAGAGCACTCTAACCCGAGGGTCCATCATCCTCGTCTCAATGTAATCTTGGGTGTCTTTGAGCCCCTTATCTAAGGAGCCACCTGCATTCACTACCCGTCATCCTTGTTTTCTCCATAGCATTATTACACCCCGAAATTATCTGTAGGTTTATTTTATTATCTGCCCACATTCCCCCACCTCCAGAACATAGGCTCCTTGCCTGCCTTGAGCGGGGCTGTATCCCTAATGTTTAGAAACGCGCCTGGCACACAGTAGATGCTTGACCAATAACAGTGCCCCCTGGTGGGCCACATCCTCTCCAGGCACAGTAAGCTTCCTCCTGTAGAACTGAGGCCTGAGCGCCCCCTTGTGGCTGTGTAAGTTGGTTTTAAACTCCATCCCAGCGATCAGTTTCTCTCTAGGGGTGGCCCGCTGGCTTCAACGAAAGGAAAGGCCCCAGAGGCAGCTGCTACAGAGCGCTCACCCATCTTTTACCTTTGCTCAACACCAGCAGCGTTCCTAATTAGAATGACAAGTATTAGAAATGGACTTGCATCGATGATATGATTGGTATTCACTATTGGCTAAAATGTTTTAGAAATACTTCTTGCCCTCAGAATAAAGGACAGGAAAGCTCTAAGCATAGGGGTTATTATGAGTGATGTAAGATCAACCTATAAAAATCAAAATAATTTAATCAACACCATAATAACCAATTAAAACATAATGTAAAAATTGTGTGGTTCTCAAAAGTAACAAAAGCTATAGTTTATCTAACAACAATCGAATATGCATTAGGCCTTGATGGAAAACATATAAAAATGTCAATAAAGGATATAGAAGATAATTTGAAAAAAAAAAAAGAAACCATCCATGCCCTTGGATAGGATATCTTAATATTATCCACATGTCAGTTCTCCAAATTAGCCAATAAATTCAATCAAAACTACAGATGACTTTTTTGAGATACTTGATAAACCTATTCTAACGTTTGTATGGAGGACTGAAGGTGTGCAAATTGCTAAGTCAACATTAATTGCCTCAAAAGTCACTGTTATGCCCTGTCCTCTTGACCTCCTCTAACCCTAATTACTTCCCAAAACCCTTTCTCCAAATACTTTCACATTGGGGGTTAGGATTTCAACATATGAATTGGGGGGAGGGTGGGGAGACACAAACGGACAGCACATAACAGTGACTTCTGAGGCTAGGTCATAAAAGGCTTGGCTCCCTTGCCATGCTTGTTCTTGGAATCCAGCCACCATGTTGTGAGGAAGCCCAAGGTGAATGGAGAGCCTTTGTGTTCTAGCCCACAGCCAGCATCAAATGCCAACATGTGAGAAAGAAAGCCCGGAGTGGGGTGACTCCAGTCTAGATACCATCTGGCTGCAATGGTATGAGAGACCCCCAGAGAGGACTGCTCAGCTGAGCCCAGCCACTCCCAGAACTATGTACTAAGCGATCAGTGCTTTATTCCACTAAGTTTCGTGTCATTTGTTTGCAGGCTGTGGTAACAGGAACAGTGACTTAGGGGTGAGGAGGGACATCTAAAGCAAGGCTAAAAGTAAAGTAAAAACTGTAAGGTGAAAAAAATTGTATGAATTTGATCATGTCACAATTAAGGGTTTCTGTTCAAGGAAAGACATCATAGACATCAGTGAACAGAAGGAGAGAAGATATTTGCAACCTGTGAAACTGTTGCAGTAATGAGTGAATATAACTCAGAAATACAAGGAACTCCTATAAATCAGCATCAAAAGACTACAACCCTGGTAGAAAAATATACAAGGGACATGAACAGACAAGTGAGAGAACAGGGAACCCAAACTGCTAACCAGGAAATTCATGGCAGGAAATGCTCAAAATCAGCAGTAATCTGAAAGATGCAAATTAAGACAACCATGTGGTATCATTTAACACCTCTTGATTGGACAAAAATTACAAAGCTGGATAATACCAAGTGTTGACAGGAGCTGCAGTGACAGACCAGTAAGCACATGCATAGTATATAGTAATACATGGCAAGTGAACTGGATAAACCCCCAGCTAGGCATAGGGAATAGATCATAGGCCAGGCTTCTGCAGAGTGAGTGACCCATTCATTCATTCACAGATTCTCTGGGGTGCCTATTATGTATTTGACACTGTTCTAGGCATCGGGTTGTATCAGCAGCTTACATTCTAGCAGGTCAAGACAGATAATAAACAATATCATAAATATATATTATGTTAGGTGATAAGAATTAAGGAAAAAATAAACAAGAAAAAATAAAAAATTAAATAGTAAAGAGATTGGAAATGCAGTTTTCAGTGGAGTAGTGTAGACAGAAAGATGGCCCCCAAAATGCCCATGTCCTAATCCCCAAAACCTGGAAATCTGTTCCTTTACATGGCAAAAGGACTTTGCAGATGTGATGACAATAAGGATCTTGAAATGGAAGGATGATTCCGGATTCTCCAGGTGGGCCCAATGTAATCACAAGGATGTTTTAAAGAGGAAGGCAAGAGGGTCAGAGCCAGAGAGAGGAGGAGGGAGGATGGAAGCAGAGGTGAATGACGTGCTTCACAGGTGGAGGAAGGAGCCATGCTCCAAGGTGAATTCCAGAAGCTGGAAAAGGCAGGGAAGCAGATTTCCCTCCACAGCGCTGCTGATGTCTTAGCCCCGTAGGACCCATTTCAGACTTCTGACCTCTAGAACTGCAAGAGGATCTGTGTTGTTTTAAGCCACTGTGTTTGAGGTAATATGTTACAGCAGCCATAGGAAACTAACACAGGTGGTCAGAGAGATGTCACTAGGACATTTGAGCAAACAGCCTGAGAAGGGGAGGGGGATGCTGGGGGAAGTCTGTTTGGGGCCGAAGGAACAGCGGGTACCCTGGCTCCCAGGCAGGGGTCTGCTGCTTGTTGGACTATCATTGAGGAGGCCTAGGTGGTGGGGACAGAGTGATGGGGAGAGTGACAGAACCAAGACCAGAGAAGTGATGGGGTCAGATTGTGTGGGGCTTCATGGGAGAATGCAGAGGACTTTGTCCTTTTACCCTGAGTGAGACGGTGCAACAGCCATTTGATTATGCTCCTGATGCTGTGGGTCAGGAATTCAGATAGATGGCAGGGATGACTTGTCTCTGCTCCACGATGTCCAGTGCCTCAGCTGGGTATATCTGTGTGGCTGGGGGTGGCTCAAAGAGCTGGATCTGAGATCATCTGCAAGCTTCTTCATCATAGGTCTGATTTCTGTATTAGCGTGAAGCAAAGGCCATGTGGCCCCTCCATATGGCTTGGGCTTCCTCACAGCATGGCAGCTGTGTGTGAACCTGTTCTAACACGTCAAGGCAGGAGCTGCAACTCTCTTTTTTTCCCAGCCTTCTTAGTGATGCCACATCACTTCCATCCCATTCAACTGGTTACCACTAAGTCCTTAAGGCCAGTCCAGATTCAAAGGGAGAGGAATTAGACTCCATATTTCAATCGGGCAGTGGCAAAATCACATTGCAGAGGGCTTGGGGGAGTGACATCAGCAAAAGTGGTGGAGCAGAGAAAGCCAAAAGCCCATTCTTCCACAAAAATAGTGAATAAAATGGCAGAACTCTCAGAATCAACTTTATCAGAACTGTGGAAACAAACCAAAAGTTTATAGCAGCCAGGTGAATGTTTATTCAAGAGTGTTTATTCAAAATATCTGAGTCTCCATCAAAGAGCTATGTGCATTTTAACTTACCCTGGCCCCATCCTCCGCTCCCCAGGTCAGTGTTGACCCTGGTAACCACAGCCTGCATTCCTGGTGCTGGAGGGAGCAGAATGGATTTATTCTCAAGGAACTGTGGTGGTTTGTTTTGACCTGTCTGGGGGGTCCCTGAGGAACCTGCTCAAAACTTGTCTTTCATCTAACTTGAAACATCCTGATTCATCCATGTTGTCCCATGTATCAGTACTTCATTCGTTTTTATGGCTGGATAATATTCCCTTTAACTGCCTTTGTTTTGAAAGATATTTTCCCTGGCTCTAGAATGGGCCATGTCTTTGACTTTCAGCTTCCTTCTCTTAGACCTGTTTCATCTTGTAGCAAGGAATGCATTCTCCTGTGGCTGGAAATGATCATGCTCCCAACACATGAGCAGGGATTCATTCACTGCTGTAGCCCTAGGGCCCAGCATTAGGCACATAGTTGGTACACATTCACTGAATCAATGAATGAATGGATAAATGTGAGGTGCAGAGGCTCGGAGAGATTTAAATTGTGTCCACTGGGATTCTTTGGTTGCAAGCAACAGACCTCATGGTGGAATTAAGGACTTCTTTACTTAGGTACACTGTGAAAAATATCAGGGAAGGACCCTCATTGGCCCAGCCTGGGTCCTGTCCTGTCTCTGAACCAATCACTGAGACCAAGGGGTGGAGTCACATACAAAATGGCAGCTTCCAGTTGGATCACATGGTTGGAGCAGTGGTGGAGAAGCAGCAATTCATCTGAAGTCAGGGGGTGCTATTTGGGCTGCTGAGTGTCCCATGAGACATTGAGAGTAACCTTTCCCACTGGGGAAGTTGGGGGTAGTTCTTGCTCCTGGTTGGCTCATTGCCAGGCAACCTGAGCTTCTAGATCATTCACCAGATGATCCTGTTTGCTTTTCTATACAATCCACCCCACAATCATGGAAGATCATGAAACATAAGCCTGCCACTCCACTGCCACTAGCTCTAGAGTGATTCCCCACATCCTGATCATAGCTCTGTAAATAGCCTCTTTATTAGAAGTTATCTTCCTCAATCTATTCTAATCTGACTGGCCCTGAGCTTCCTTTTGGGGCCATGGTTGGTACAGCCAATTCCATGTGAAGCCATTGGTATGCTTAGATGTACCCCTGGTGGGCAAGGGGTACAGATCTTCAAGCATCAGTGGCTTCTATGTGTCTCCACTGAATTCCTCACTGGTCACCCCCATCCTGTATGGCGGTTCTGTTACCATGGAGGGCTGGAGCAAGGTCCCAGAAGGCCATAGTGTGTATCACGGCCAGCAACTCAATCTGCTTTCTCATTCTAGCTGCTTTCTTCAAAATGTGGCCCATTCTTGACCATGTACACATTTGGCATGCAAACTGAACTTATAGCTAATTGTTATATTTATTTCCATGGGAGAGTATGAAAATAAATAAAAGATTATATCTTTAACATTCAGTCCCAGGGGGGTGGCTGGAGGGGGGGGGGTGCTCTGGTCTGACCAGACAGGTAGCCCATAAGAAATACCCTGCTACTAACAATGGAATTTACTTGTCTTGCCCCATAAGAAGGCTACTAAAGGATAGGAATTTCAGCTCTGAGATTCCACTGTTTCTTCTCGTGAGGTAATCTTTTCCCACTGGGGGCTAGTAGCAGGCTAATAATTGTTTCTCAAAAGGGGTATACCAGTGTTGGCCCAAGTCCCTGGGTCCAAAACCTTAAGGGCTGGTTCCTGTGGCTCTCTTGGGAAGCTGTACTTGGGTGGAGGAGCTCCCGGGATTCTGGGGAGCTTGCTGAACAATCTTGCTTGTGTACCTCACTCCACGGTATCTTTTGTTTATATGTGTTTTTACAAAATGTGTATTAAGGTACTGTGTGCATATACTTCTAACCTATGTGATTGGAATTATGTTATGGATATTACTCTATTTCTTACTTTTGTGCCTCAGCACCCATATCACTGTATTTTAAAGATCTGTCCACGTTGCTCTGTGCGTTTCTCATCGCATCTTCTCAGTGCTGTACAGGACTCCCTGATGCACGTCCCCAGTTTCCCTACCCACTCCCCCAGGGGGGATCCAAGGACAGCCAGTCTGCCTCCAGCTGAAATCTCCACAGTAATGCTCAGCGGACAGCATCAGGCACCTCC